GAGAGTCTCTTCATATTCTTCTAAACGCCAGTAGTTAGAACCGCTTGTCTTAAAAATGTACTGAGTTATACTAATTAAAAAAAAAAACAGTACATATTGGAAAAACAATTTATAAAAACTATCACTGTGTCTTGAACCAGGATGGGTGAGTAAGTTTTTTGCGGTTTGACAATCAAACAAACAAGCAAATACTGTTAATTTTAAAATGTCGATAGTGTTTTAAAACAGTATTTAAACAGCCAAAAGTGTAATAAAAATAGGATTAAAGGAAAGATAAACGGAAGAAGTTAAGACAAAAACAATAATTGCTGGTTGATAAGATAATGTTCATAAAAAAGGCATAAAAATGTTAATGTGACATTGCCGCCGATAGTATAATTTATTTAATAGAAATATGGAATAAATGGGTATTGATAAAAGCACTGTGAAGGCAATAATGTACTTAAAATTAGCCTATAATTATTGCACACAATTAGTACGAATCGTGTTTTTGAGGAAATTCAATTTAAAGATCAAACCTGTTCCCAAATGATTGATTTTAATACTTTGCAACTATTTTTGCTACCAGATGCTTGTTGTTTCAATTTTAAGCTACTTAGTTAAATTTCAGCCAGACACCAGAATTTTAGGTGATAGCTATTTATGCCCAATCCACTTTTACCCAAATGACGGTACTAGTTACCATAAAATTTAAATTATAACTTAATATTATATTAATGTAGCGAGTGAGGATGTTATAGAAAATTGGCAAATCAAATTTAACCAGTATGAAGATAATAAGGATAGTTTAATCTCTAAGGGTTTTTCAGACACTATTATTCGAAGTCAATAGGTACTAGATACATTTAACTCTTTTAAAGCGACACAACAATGTTCTGCGTTCATTTCGTTATACAGTCAGTTGACATAAATATTTTCTGGAGATGATCAAATTATATTTAAACAATTTAATAAATTGTAACCGCTAATGACGATTTTGACTTTTTTTGTATTTTCCCATAATTTTGAATTTTTTTACTTATTTCTTTTACCTTTCTTTTTATGTAATTAATTACAATAAAGAGATCTTTTTAATGATTTACTGTTACAAATTTTAGTACGTTACATAAAAAAAAATGTAGGTACTACATTTCACAATTTGCCTATAACATATATTTTGTCCCAAGACGTATAAATTTGTATTTGTGTATCGGCAGCCGTGCAGCTAAATCGCAAAAAAAAAAAAAAAGATGACTCAGGTCATAAGTATACTTTAACAACTGTCAACTAAAGCCACCGTTTGTTCGACTATTTATGAAAAATTCCAATATTTTACATAATTATCGTTACTTTTAGTAGTTAGCATAAAAAAATAATCAAAATATTAATTGCTAAAGATTGCTCTGCATTTTCGGCAAAATATTCTTTATTTAAAAAGAAAATCAAGCGTATAAGTTTGCATTTAAGTTTAAAAAGTCCACCTTTTTTAGACCCCCAGAAAAATGACTCAACGTTTTTAGCCGTTATTTGGCTACGTTCGTTTACTTTGACTACTTTTTGCTCATCGATGATGAAAACAAAATAATATATCGTTGTAAAACATACACCTTACAATAATATACAAGTACCTTCAAATTTGCTACTAAAACCTGTAATTGAAGAGTGAAAGTGTCAAACGTTCCAAGTGCCAAAGTATAAAAATTGTACTTTATAATTTGTATTTTATTCATTACCGGAAACAATTTTGTACATTTTTCGAGTAAAGAATAGTTATTTATAAAAAAAACAATCATATTTAAAACTCAAAAATATGTTAAAGTGTTTCCGGTAATGAATAAAATACAAATCAAATTATAAAGTTCAATACTACGCTTCATAAGATACAACAGAATAACCTCTTAGTATTTGAACGAAAAGTTTTGAGGACTATTTTTGGCCCTTGCATAGATAGGAATAGAGAGTGGAGAGTGGAGAATCAGACATAATGTGTAGATCAGGGAGCTATATCAGAAACCAAACATAGTCTTTATATTTATACTGTGTGTTTTTATGTTTAATAGTATTGTGTACAATCATATTATTACTGTGTTTTATTTCTACTTAAATACTAACTTCCACCAAGGTATACAAGCTTATATCGCAATATTTACAATATATATGACTTTTTTTTCAACGTGTTCAGAATTTTTTTAACCAGGGGCCCAAATTTGGGTTTCCAATTGAAAATGTGTTAGATTTTATTTTATACATTGAACTTTCGTTGTATAAAATGCGCTAGTACATTATTTAACATAAGTTCCCAGATTTTGTATACTATTCAATGAGTTGGACGTAAAAGACCTTGAATTTACTGTGTGCAAAAACACAATACATTTTCAATGTGTTTAGTGTCTTATTTTTTTAGTTTCATAGCGATGTAGGTAACAAAATATAACTTGTAGCCGACAAAAAAAACTTCACTAAATCAATACACATCCACACAAATACATTGGGAATTTAGCACACAATAATGCGTTGGGAAAATTGAAATAATTTGAAATAGACATTCTTTTTGATTCAAAATATTATGTAGGACTAGTTTTCCAACCCTGTATCGTTCTTATTTCAATCATAATTAAGCCAATCCAATACCATTGTGGTTGACCAGCGAGGATTTTTTTTCACAACTGGCTATACAATATAAATAATACATTCTACACTGTTTTACTTAGGCACTCAACATTAGAACTCAATTTAGATAATGCTACCTCTAACATCCAATCGCTATATAATAACCATTAAGATGAATTATCTATTAAAAATACAAACGATGAACCTGTCACCCAAATTTGCACAATCATTTAATAAAAGTAGAAATATAAGGAAAGGAATTAGAAGCAGTAATAAAGAGTTGGAATAGATTAGATAAAAAAATACAACTTTACTTATTCGGTAATTATTTTTTTTATTGGTAGACATGGCGCAAAACAGAAATAGGCATACAATATTATGTACTTAAAAATGTGTAATGTGGAATACGTTATTGAAAAAATCCACCAACGGTTTTTTTCCCGTCAGCTTATCTATATATATATATTTTAGATATTATAATGAAAAAGTGACAATGATATGGTAAATAATATAATTATTATATAATAATATAGAAGAATATAGATGCCTGTTTTTTTCTAACATTAGGTTAGGGTGTGGCTCGTGTGGGTAGAAACTGTGGATGTCCACGTTGTAACAGTTGCACGAGTGATTCTCCTGGTTGGCCATCTGAGTTTATTTCTGACCATATGTCACCGATTTTCCCGTACCTCTTTTGGTTATTATTTTTATCAATAAAGATACATGTATGGCTAGTTGAGTCAACAATAACTTCTTTTATGTAAGATTGTGGAGATTGGGTACTCAAGTATAATCCTAGATAATAACACTTCTGTGATAAAGAGGCCTCATCATCTTCAGATTCGCCTAAAAAATTTGAAATTTTTTTTTTAATATGCTAATATTAGTTTACTACTTTTCTTTATGGTGCAGGACAAAACTATTTTATTTGTTTATACGAAGACATATAAAATTAATACACTAGGTATATAGTGTCCGTATTGTATTACTTATTGTATATATATACAATACGGATTGCATATATATAAATGTATAAATATAATATATATAAATAAATAAATAATAAATATAATATATATACATATATATATAATTTTATATAAATATAATATATATATAAATATATTAATAACGTTCATAAACCATACAAATCCAAAATTAAAATTTACCTATTATACGACGTCCGATTATACCATTTAAAGCTGAAGCAACATGTTCTCTTCTCTCGTATGCAATTTCTTCCAATGTTCCATGATCTATAAAATTAATTATTAAATGACCGTGTGGCGAAGAAATAATAATAATTATAATACAAAAATATTAGTCGCTCTTCATACATAATTATTGTATTACAATTCAAAGAATTATGTTATGAAAAAACTTTTTGTACAACCACTTATTAGTGTTGAAACTCAACAAATGTGTTCTTTTTATTGAAGTCCCTAAGAATTTATTACACATAAACACTGTAAGTCACACTCAACAGAAAGTTGAATTTATTAAAATCGTTATCTGACATAAAAAATTAAACAAATTAAATGAAGTTAAATTTTCAACTCTAAAATAAGCTTTTAAGGCTATTTATGAATATCAAACAAATGCTAATTACCAGTAGTATAAGTCATATTCACTCTATATTCTGTAACAAACACATTAAACATTAAATGATTATGCAGTTTTTAAAACCTGGTTAATATATTTAATACATAACATTCACTCTATAATTGAGGTTAATTAAATCAATATTAATTAATGCAAAATTGTATTGTATAAATTTAAATTTATATCATATATCTATGTTTAAATTTTATTTCGAATGATTCTTAAAAGCTTAACAATAAATCATGTATAGCTTGGTGACTTGATATTATTAATCCAGTTTTTCTTTAAGACTACAAAAATATTTTACTCATTTTTTTTTATATTTACCTCTTCTGTCTTTTATGAAATCTGTCATGAGATCGAGAAAATAATTGGCTTCTAAAATTTAAAACAAAATATATAATATAGGTACTTATATTTTTTTTATGAAAAAAACCGGTATGTCGTGTTGGTATATTTTGTCAATAGGTACATATGATTAGTCTCAAAGTATTTGTGAATAATAAATATGAAATATTGAAAGGGGTTTTTACTTTGCGTTGGGTCATGAGTGATATCTGAATGAAGTTCCATTAGTCTTGGATCTAAAACAAAATTTTGTTTGCATAAAGAATATCAAACAACTGTTGCATAACATAGAGAAAATAATTGGCTTCTAAAATTTAAAACAAAGTACATCTTAATGTACTTACATATTTTTTATGAATAAAACCGATATGTCATATTGGTATATTTTGTCAATAGGTACATATGATTAGTCTCAAAGTATTTGTAAATAATAAATAATAAATATTAAAAGGGGTTTTTACTTTCCGTTGGCTCCTCTCTGAATGTGTAAGCTGGAACTAAAACAAAAATCGTGTGTACATAAAGAATATCAAACAACTGTGCAAAAACGCTTCTATAAAATGCGATGAAAATTATTACCCGCTGTATTGGATAAAATATCTGTTTCGTCTGAAATAAACAACACATAAACCAATGATATTGTATTTCGTTTTCTTTTCTATTATGAACAGGAAAACAAACTTCAAGGAAGAAAAAACGTGTTTATTAAAACTCAAAAGAAATATGCTCCACTGTATATTCAATACGATGAGAGACTCTTTGGAAAATTCAATAGGAATGAAATATTGAAAATATTTTTATAAAATTTAACAAAAACTATTACCCGGTACAGCCATAAGAAAATTAGTAATGCCTGAAATTTACATTACATAAATTAATGATACTGGGATTTCTATAATCAATTATTACATTATACAATTATAAATTAGAAGACGAAGGTCAAAGTAGAAAAAAAATTATATTAAATAGACTAGGGAACCCTCAAGAAATGTAATGGTTGAGTTGTTGCAGTATTTTTTCATAAAGCTACTATTTAGATTTCGATGAAAAATATAATAATTATAACACTCGTCATTTGCATAAAGATAAACGTGAGATGCAGTTTTAATGTTATTATTTTCAAGTAATTTTTTCTACTTTTGCCTTGATGTTTTGTATTATTATTAAAAATATGATTACAGAAATCGAATAAAACATTTTCAGTATCGATGGAAGCATCAACCATTGTCTCAATAGCATTCTCCAAACCACCTAAAATAAACAAATGAAGATTTAGGCTATACTAAATACTAAAATAATAAAATCAAATCAAATTAGGTACAATACAAATGTTTAGAATAATATTAAACCCGATTTTGAGCAGTAGCCATTTAAGTTCACTCTTCTCCCTCGATTAGGTTATTAAAAATCGTTAATGTATATTACAATATATTGCTCTGTACACTGTTCTACATATCTGGTACACCTTTCTTAACTATTAATAAAAACTAAAATTTGTATTTAATTATAACTTGACAGTTAGATACATATAACAACGCTTCTATATGTATTAGTATATTATTATACATATAATATCTTACTTTTTCTAGATAATGATCCATAATAATAAAAGGTCTTAAGTAAAAGATCTTTGATGAGTTCAGCTGAGATACATAATTAAAAAAAATTGTATAAAAACAGTATATTTTAAAAACTTAAAAATCATATTTTGTTTATAATATAATTGTATTACTGACTTGTACTCAAAACTTTATCCATATATAACTCTGTAAAAAGTGAAATATAATTAATTTTTTCAAATTTTAACTACCTTCAGTTGATAACTGTAAAAAAAAAAAATAATTACGATCATCTGCCAAAACACCCGCAAGGAATAGAAAAGATATTAATAAACTGAAGAGTTTCATAATTATCTGCGAATAATAATAAAAAAAAACATTTTATATTAGTCATAGTTGCCTTTTTTGCTTATATGAGAAGGTTAGGTTAGGTATGATTTTGCAAGGCAGTTTCGATATGATAATATATATATATATATACATTTTTTTATCACATCCACAAAATTTCCTTGACCGTTAAACTGATTTTTATGTAAAGAAAGGTAGAAATCTACCTCGAAAAGTACTTGATTTGGCCAAAATTACAGTTACTTCACCATATTGAGGATAGACAAAGAAAAAAACAGGTCTGTTAACAATTTCAGTTGCATTGTATGAAAAAGTTAGGTTACACTATTCAAAATAGAAATTAGAAAAATTAGTATATAACTTAATGGAATTTTAAAATCTGAAAGTGATAAAATTACTTTCGAAAAAACGCTTCGATGCAAATTCGACCATGCACAGTAAAAACCAGCAAAGTTTGAAAGTATTAAATTGAGGTGTTGTATTTACAAATAAGCATCAAAGCGTTAATTTAAAAGTGATTTTATCCGAGAGGACTAGTACAGTAGAGTATAGGCATAATGGAATCAAAGCGACCAGGGGACGGAGAGGTCAGGTCTACATGAATTATTTTAAATAAGAGTGATAAAATTAAATAAAAGCTTTAAATATTAGTAAAACGTGTTTTAGTTACAATGGAATTTCTTAATAATTTTGCTTCTTTGACTTGGGCCGGATAAAACATTTTTAACAGATATTTTCATCTTGGTTGTACATTCAAAAAGATCTACTTTTGTGAGGTATTGTGATAACGATTTAGAAAAATGCAAAAGTTCAATTTTATAAATCGTTTTCATAATTGATCACAAAAGTAGCGTCTTGATAATAAAGTACAAACATTTTCTGTCCAAGTCAAAAAAGGAATATTTAGCCAAATTATTTAAATTATTTAGATTTTCCATTACAACTCATAAATAAAATCTTGTTTTTGGAGGTTATTAATTTCTTTCCAAAAAAACTGTACAAATTTGTTTCTAGCGTTTTGTTTTAAAATCGTCAAAAATAAAAATATTTTTTTGTTGTTTTATAATGAATTATTTTTAGGAATTTAGTTCCCTACAGAGCTATTTGTTTCATCCTTGTTCTGTCGAAACTTTTTTTGATTTAATGGAAAGTCTTAATTATTTTGCTGAATATTGCATTTTTGACTTAGGGCTGACCAAATATTTTAAAATTTTTTTTAAATCTCGGTTGTACACTCAATGAAATCTACTTTTGTGAGGTATCATTTAGTACACCTCAAGCCAAATATCAAACAAAACCAAAATTTAAAAGAAAATTCTCTCCAAAATGTGGATTGTGTAAAACGATGGTTAAGAATCGATAAAAAAATAACTAGTTATAAAAACCCTTCTAATTGTTTTTTAACACTTTAACTTTTGATTCTTTAGGTTCATGCCTTTTTAGCGTTATTGAAATATTTAGAGTTTTATAGAAATTCTTACTGTGGAAATTGGTAAGAGATTCTTGAACAACAATTGACTGGACCAGCTTTTGAAACTAAATGTACTGCTTGCGACTTATGTATGGTTTTTATATCGCCCAAAATATCACAAGCCAATTTTTTTTTTCAGTGTAAATATTGTGTTCATTTATTTACACAGTGGGTTCATTTTTTTTTTTTATTATTTATCGTGTACAAACATTACTTAGAAAGCGGTGTTTGGACTATGTTTTTCTACGCAATACACTTAAATAAGAAAAATATTTTATTGGATGGAATAGTATTTTTTAAAAATTGTATTATGGTTTAACAAAAACTGTTTCAACGGTTACAAATATTGAAATTTAAAACAACTCTAACGGTATTGAAATTCGAATAACGTACATTATATTATGACTAGATAACAATATACCGTCGTCGGTATGTGGAAGTCAGTACACAGCGGTTCCTACGGGGGTGCCCGGCTACGCCACCCACGGTGTCAATCCACCTCAATATGTCTTAATGTAATGTTGCTATAATCCATGGTACCAAGTCTAGCTATCTTGAGATCAAAAATAAAAAGTAATTAAATTGAAGAATGCGCGATGCGGACATAAATTTCTATTTCTACGTACTTAAAAATTCGTTAATAAATATATAATAAAATTCGTACTAATTGTATGCAATAATTATAGGCTAATTTTAATATATTGTTGTCTTTACAGTTCTTTTTATCAATACATATATTTTATATTTTTACTATGTAAAAACCCCTATCGGTGACAATGTCACCTAAACAATTTTATGAGTTTCCAATGAAAATGATTTAATTAAATTCGAGAAAAATCTTCGAATCGAGTTGAAATTTATAAAGAATATTTACTTGATTTTTCCCTACACGCCATTAGTCTCAAATTTAAATAATACCCATTTGACAGCCCCCCCACGGGGATGCCAGTTTTTTGGGTTTTTAGTCGTAGTTGTAGGAACTTTTATTGAAAAAACTTGTCAAAAGTCGGAACTCATAATATGTATCCATATTAGACGAAGTAATGATTCGGGGTACAGTCTTTTTTAATTGTCGGAAAACTGTATTTTTGTTAAATCTAAAAAAAAATGATCAAATTATGCCAATATTTTTACGGATACTATTTAGAGTGATTTCAGTAATTTTTTGTGCTCAAGTTCCAGTTTTAGGTTTTAATTACATTTTTCAAAAGTAATTTTATCACATTTAGCCAGCTCGGTCAACTCAAGTCCCAACCCCAATTGTAATGGCTTTTTCCTTTGTGAACATCCGTCGATAGCCATACTAAAGGTTAGGTTACTATTTGTTTTACAGACTATTAAAGACAGTAGTTTAAAAAATATCTATGCGCGCAAATCATATGTGAATCGTAAATCCGATTCGATAACATGCTTGATAAGACCTTCGAATTTTCAATGTAAAAGTTGCACTAAGATGTGCACAAAATAAAGAGAAATTTGAAATTCGAAAATTGAATATTTTATACATTGTTTTGTCATTACATCGACGTAATTTTCGGCTTAAAAAGTATCAATATATCTTGTCGATGGCAAAAAAAAATGTACTTAGACATTCTCATGTGTGAACAAGTGCCGAAATTGTATGCTTTTCGAAAATATTTTCAATTAATCATAACCTTAGCATTTTCAATATAAAGTCTTATAACAAAAATTGCACGTGGAAAACCCCGAAATTTAGAAAACTTCCCCTCCCCTCGGGAGAAAGGCTAAAAGTTTTGTCTAAAGATATGTCTAACAAACACCATATAACATGTGTAGAAAAAAAATATCGATCCCTAAGTCTAATCAGTGTATTTTAAATAAGGCGTTTAATTTTTAAGTTTTTTTTGTAGATCAAAGTTAGACAACGAATGATACGAATTTTGCTTGAATACAATTAATGTGAGTGCTATTTTCAGTATCATCATTCGGATGACTTAGGCCAGATTTTATTCGAGATAAATAATCAGCCGTGTTATTTTTAGATTTGACGTATTTAATTTCAAAATCAAAAGATGATAAAATATATGCTTACCTTTTTAAACGATTAGCCACGTTTATTGGATGTTTTTTTATCGCCAAAAATATATATTAATGATTTGTGATCCGTTTCCAATAGAAATTTGCTACTATATAAGTAATCATAAATTTTGTAATTCCGAAAATAACAGCTAACCCGTCTTTTTCGATGTGTGGAAATTTGCATTCTAAATCTGAGAGAACCCTTGATGCCAAAGCTATAGGTCTTTCAGTATAATCTGGATAAATCTGTGAAATAATTGTGTCTAAAGCATAACATGATGTATCTAAATTAGCAGTGGCAAGTTTTTTCTGAAATTCACCTGCTGAACTTTTTATACCAAATGGATTACGAGTGTAAGTGAATAAACCTTTGTGCGTGTTAATGTTAGTATATTTTTTATCTGTCTCTTAATTACTATTTGTTGGTACGCATCT